AAAGGCAAAGATCAGTGAGGATATCTAATTTATTTCTTTACATTCTCTTTTTTGTTTTTGTGCAATAAATATTTGATATTTATAAATACGTATTTATTATTTAAAACCACGTAACAAAAATAACTGGGGTGACATTTTGGAGGTTGAAACGGATTAATGGTAATTCAATTGTTTTGTATGGGGAAATTTGCTTCGAGATACGAGTAATTCAAGATACGAGCAAGGTTGCGGAACGAATTAAACTCGTATGTCGAGGTATCACTGTATAAGGTATAATGATTAAATTAGGATTCATATATTTTGCTAGGTATATGTTCCTTTCCCAATTCAAAATTATTTACTATGCCATGTGAATCTATACAAAACCTAAATATTCCTACATGAGACAAGAAAATATTTTGAAGATTAAAAAAATCTAATAATTTGTTGAATAATTTCCAAAAGCCTCTCTATATTTATCAATTTCACGGCAATAATTCTATCTATTAATATAATATATATACTTATGTTGATATACTAGAAATGCTAACATTATATAATATATAATTATTTGTTGGATTTATACTTGATATAATATTCAAATATTGAGATATATTTCATAAATTGGGGTATAGAAAGCGAGAGTGGCGAACCTGCTCACCTACGAGGTGTGTTCAAAAGGTGTCGCGACTTTTGTGTTTTTTCAAAAATTATTTATTTATTCATGAATACCTATTTTGTCCCCTTCAAAGTAATCCCCATGATATATTATACACTTGTGCTAACGGTTTTTCCAATCTTCGAAGCACTTCAAAAACCATTTTTTAAAATCTTTTCAGCTCCTCCTTCGATGCCTTCTTTATCACGTCAAGCATAGCGTAACGTCGTCCTCTCATGGACCTCTTCAATTTAGGGAACAAAAAAGTTCCAGGGGGCCAGATCTGGGGAATACGGTGGCTGCGGCATCATTAGTGTGTTGTTTTTGGCCAAAAGGTCGCGCATAACTTGCAGGTAATATTCCTTATTGACCGTTCTACCCTGTGGCAAGAACTCATGATGCACCACGCCCTTGCAATCGAAGAAAACTGTCAGCAAAACTTTCACATTCGACCGAACTTGGCGCGCTTTTTTTCGGTCTCGGTTGGTGCGGCAGCTTCCATTGAGATGATTGAGCTTTGGTTTCCACGTCATAACCATAAACCCACGCTTCCTCACCAGTTATGACCCCCTGGAGCAAATTTGGGTCGTCGCGGACAGAGTCCAACATCTCATTAGCAATGTTCATGCGATGCTGTTTTTGGTCGCAATTGAGCAATTTTGGTACGAATCTCGCGCGACCCGTCTCATGCCCAAATCATTGATAAAAATCGAATGGCACGAGCCAATCGATATGTTTAGGTCCTCAGCAACTTCTCTAACGGTGATTCGACGATTGGCCAATATCATTTTCTCCACTTCATTAATTTTTTCGTCTGTAGTTGAAGTGCTCGGGCGTCCGGCACGCTCTTCGTCGTTCACATCTTCTCGGCCTTCTGAGAACATTTTGTACCACCGATAAACATTGCTTCGGTCCAAGGTAGCTTCTACGTATGCCACAGTCAACATTCGGAATGCATCCGCGCACTTAATTTCGTTTTTCACACAATATTTGATACAGGTTCTTTGATCCATTTTTTATAGGTAAAAATCGAAGACTTATCCAAAACACCTGCAAGCAAAGCAGCTGTCAACAACTAAGTGAACATTCAAAATGGCTGAGCTTGTCGGCATAAGTGAGAGACATGAGTACCAACATAAAGCCACAAAAAGATCGAAATTCGAATATACGTAACCCGCGAAAATTCAAAATTCGCGATACTTTTTGATTCAAAATATTGGTCGAAATATTGGAATAAAAATAAATAAATACAGTATATACAATTTTCATAAAATCTCTATTATATATAATTATCATATTAAATGAATAGTATAAGATATAAATCGACGTATAAGATATAAGTATATAAATAAGTTGGTGGACGAACGGTATAAAGTTCGTCCAACGACTTATTTATATACTTATATCTTATACGTCGATTTCCGACAGCCATAAACCGGGATCGAATCCCGCATTGGACACTTCTTTTTTTATGTGAAGAACCTGTGCATATTATTCATTGTAAATAACATGAGCTAGGTTTCTCTTTTTGAGATATCTAATAAAGTTATTTTGGAACCGTATAAATTAATAATTATAAAGCAATGGAAATTAAGCAATAAACTAGTGCTAGGATCATTTTCCTACGCCAGGATATGTAAATTATTCTGTTATCAGACTGAAACTACTGAACTGAATTCTTAAAGACATTCTATATATCCTGTCAAAGTTTCATACATTATAGAAACCTATGCGGAATAAACATATTATGCACTTTAGACGTATCGATCCTTAAAGACCAAAAACTATATAAAGCGTCAAAGTTTCATATAAATAGGCCAAATATTGTGGAAATATACACTCGCCCGCACAATTAAAGGAATAACACATATTTAAGAAAAATAAAAGTTCTATTGAAGGATATATATCAAATTTTGGTATATTCAAAAGCTTCCACGAATTACGAGAATATGTGAAACAGAAAAACAAATAAAGTTGTCCACAATATGCAAAATACCACCGTCTACATTGACTCCGCCTCCAGCACTTGCCTGAATCTTTCTCAAAGCGTCCTAATTTTACGCTCCGCTAGATTTTTATTGAACATTTTTTAAAAGTTTTCATGGCTTATAGGCAACATTTATAACAATAAAAAATGCCAATCTATTGAAAGGATGGAAACAGGCCAATCACATGCAAGAAGTAGCAAGTTGGCTTGGAGTAACAAGAAACGTTGTCTCAAGGCTTTGAAAAAAATTTCAAACGACAGCTAAGGTTTCCAGAATACCCAGATAAGGCCGACCAAGGGTCACAACGTTAAATCAAGACCGTTATTTGAGTCTCGTTGCGCGTCACAATAGAAGAATGACAGCATCGCAACTACGAAGTGACCTAACTGCTGCTACAGGAATCTTAGTATCAACTGATACAATACGCAGAAGGCTTCACATGAAGAGCCTCTATGCTCGACGACCCATAATTTGTGGTATGCCATTGACACCACCTCAAAATGTCGCCTGGAATCCAAATAAATGGAGACGTGTAATCTTCACTGATGAGTCCAGATTCTCTCTAAACAGCGATTCTCGTCGTATCTTTATCTGGAGAGAGGAAGAAACCAGAAATAATCCCCGGAATATGGTTGAAAAGGATCCCTACAGAAGCCAAGGTTTTATGGTCTGGAATCTTCTTGGGCGGTCAAACAGCACTTCATGTTTTTCGGCAAGGAAACCTGACTCCAGTCTGTCCACAGAGGTATCGGGACGAGATCTTGGCAGCATATGTAATGCCTCAAGCATTGGAAATTGGAGAAAACTTTCTTTTAATGGATGATAATGCCCTTCCACATAGGGCTGGTGTGGTCGACGAGAATGAATTGGCCAACTCGATCTCCAGACCTAAATCCCATTGTGCATGTATGGGACAGACTAGGACGGCGGATCTCATCCCTCCAACCCCCTCCTAGAAACAATCTTGAGCTAGAAACAGCCTTAACACAAGAGTGGTCGTTGATTCCGCATGAGCTGATAAACTCCCTAATTCTTAGTATGGGTCGCCGATGTAGAGCCTGTCTATTAGTTAAAGGCGAACACACCCCATATTAACAACAATATCCAAGATATTTATGCACTGAATGCAAGAAGATCATTGCTTGACCGGCTAATTTGCATGAAATACGTGTTAGATTTCTTTGATTTCGGGTATTTTAATCAATAATAAAAAAATAAATTTGTGTATGAAATTTAATTAATAAATGTTCAGTAAAATTTGAGATAAATGAAAAAAAAAATGTTGTTCCTTTAATTTTTTCAGGCCAGTGTATGAGGATTCACGCACAGATATTTCTTCTTTATTCGCATAGATTTATATTATTGTTATTTTCAAACATATATATAATTATCTTTTAAAACTTATATAAAAGTTATAACTTCAAGCTCTCTCTTTCAGGCAATTAAAAAAAAACTTCAGTTAATATATGCGTGTATATTTTGGCAACACACACAACAAACAACCCACAAACACAACAAAATTCTGCTAATCTTCCAAATAAGAAATTTGTTTGAAAATATATTTTTATTGATATTCTTTTATGAAATATTGTTTATAAGAGAGAGAAAGAAATTATATTTCTAAAAGTAAACAGACGACGCTGGAATTTAAATCTCTGTGATCGTTAGGGAATTTATAAAAAAGTAGCTAACCCTAACTAGCTCGTGATGTAAACCACCCAATCACATTTCCTCCTGGCTAATGTCTCCAGAAGAAATTCTATTAGCAGAGGTGCGAGATCAATATTCATTAATATTGATTAAGCCTCTTTTTTTGGAAAATAATTAGACGGATTGCCGTCTTATGTCTTAAAATAATTATTCTACTGGAAACATCAGTTGTGTGCACACTTGAGCATATATATACCGTACCATTTTAAAATATTTTAATTTGAAATATTTCTCTGATGACTATTTTTTTAAAGTAAGAATTTGGATTATATAACATAGAAAATAAAATTGGTGCTACTTGTGTTTGTTATAATATAATTATATTTGTGTTTATTTATGCATAATATAAAATGTAATTAATTAATGATTGTTTTATACAGTTGGGGGTATAGATGGCTATAAATTAATATATACGTTGGATTTTATGCTTCTATCTCATAGTATATATGTAGAATATTAGAATACTTTGTTTTTTATTTACTAGTATGTGAGTGTGAGATTAGATTTTATTTTGCATAGACCTTCATATTATATCTTCACCTCTTTTTTTTTTTTTTTTCTGCTTAAACTAATTCCTACTTCTCCGTGGAGAGTGCTAAGAAAGATAATATGGTTTCACGGGCTACTATCCAAAGTGCTTGATTTTTGAGCACACAAAAATAAAACGACGCGGATGGATTTCGAACCCACGCGGGAAGAGCCCAATGGATTAGCAGTCCAACGCCTTAACCTCTCGGCCACCTCGTCACGTGGAGAGTGTTAGAGTCTGAGGTTCTAGTATATTTTCTAAATATTATTTATTCAGCATAAATAAGATATTATATGATAGAACAATAACGTACATTGCACATTGGCGGAGAAACTCAAACGTTTTCAATATCTAAAACAAAGTATTTAGTTATTCAACACAATATAATCTATATTCAACACTATTTTAAAGGCGTGAGATTCTTTTTGATATTAAACAATTTCTACTGCCCTTACTGCAATGGAAAAATTTATGAGAGGGCCTGGCTCATCAGTGGTGAACCCTCTCAGCGGTTTCTCCAGTTTAATCTACCATACCGCTGTTATATTGCATTTTTGGAACTTCCTTTTATAGTGATACTGTTAGTAGACTCTTTGAATGGTTATTTTTGAAGAACTATTCACATAAGCTTTGAGGACAGTAGAATTACATACATTTATAAATATATAATATCAAAAAGAATCTTACGCCTTTAAAATAGTTTTGAATTTTGATAACAGATGGCTAATTAGTGCATCATATTATAAATGTTCTAATAAAAGACTCAATTTGATATTTGCGGAAGAGCGATTGCTCGAAGCATATTATATATTTATAAATGTATGTAATTCTACTGTCCTCAAAGCTTATGTCCATAGTTCTTCTAAAATACACATTCAAAGAGTCTACCAACAGTATCACTATAAAAGCAAGTCCCAAAAATGCAATATAACAGCGGTATGGTAGATTAAACTGGCGAAACCGCTGAGAGGGTTCACCACTGATGAGCCAGGCCCTCTCATTAATTTTTCCATTGCAGTAAGGGCAGTAGAAATTGTTTAATATCAAAAAGAATCTTACGCCTTTAAAATAGTTTTGAATTTTGATAACAGATGGCGCGCTAGTACATCACATATAATCTATTTTTAATTTATATTAAAATAACACTTTAAAATGTTGTCAATAAAATTCTGAATCTCGGAATCATTACTAAGCATATTAAATGTCGCTAAAACAAATTGATTGTACATGCGGTTTTACCAGATAGTGTTGGAAAAACAGGTAAACAACGTCATGCTGTACACTAATGCCATACAAACTACTAAAAAGGGTATTCTTAAAATAAGTCCATTCTATGAAAAATAGATAATCAGCAAAAAGTTATATTTTTCCGTTTGATAGCAATGAGTACTTAGCAACATTTAGTTACACGATCAAGAGATGACATCTCATAATATTATATATATGGAATTTTTTACCTGGATGTTGATGATCTATAAAAATAGATGTCGCCTTCTCTGTGATTGACGAAAGCCATTAGCCTGAAACCATGGTCTCTAGTAGAGCGCCTTTCAGTTTGCCAATGTCACAGATCCGAGTCCACAGGTTCGCGGAGACGGTCAATTGATAATGCATAATTTAAGCGTCTATTTTGATGGGAAAAGCGAACTAAATATAATGACTTTAAATGTTGTGATTTGCGAAACAGTCGTGTGTTGTGTGGCAAAGTGGTAAGTATATAGTGGTAAGTAAGTATTGAAAATGAAACCATTTAGACGCGAATGTTTCTTTTACACATATATCAAACTTCTACTGTCCTTACTGCGGTGAAAAAAATATTGGAGGGCTTGGCTCATCAGTGGTGAACCCTCCCAGCGGTTTCGCCAATTTAATCTACCAGAACGCTTCTTTAAAGCTCTAATACTGAATTTGATCATTCTGTTTATATATGCTACACTGAAGGGTGGAATCCCAGAAAAGTACTTGTGTACAGAAACCCTTGAGGAGTCGATCGAAGAAGAAAGACAAGGTCTGTGGACCACCCTGGTAACAACTGGCGTTGAGTCGACCTTAAAGAGAATTGTCCCCAGATCATCAATTCCAGGTGCTTTAAAACTATTCTTAGTAGGCTAAAATAGTCACCGCAACGGGGCGTGACCCACCGAATGTCCATTTATAGAAGGCACGACATGTGGTTGATTAAGGTTGTTCTGACAAACTAACATTCTTTTTCCTCTCCTTATACTCTCTTCCATACAGATTATCTCTATTGATATATTTCTATTGAATGAATTTATACATGTTATAACATATATATATAAACACGAATATAGTATATATTTTGTAAATAAACTATCATTTAACTGTAAATGTTTTAATTATTCAATATGCTAAAACCTTCCATCTTCTGACATTAAAATTTATATATTTAATATTTACCAAAGATATTTAGGATATATATAAGCTTTCTAATTGCTATTAAATTATTAACAATGAATGCTATTTTATTTATGTCTAATTGTTTCCTTCTATTTAATCCTCCCCATTAAATAAATTGCTTCTATTCGACACTAATTATTTATTTTCCGTGCGGAGGGTTATTTTATTTTCTCTTCAACTTTAGCGTTGTGTTGGCTTTATTTTCTTCTTAGTACGACAGAGCTGTCGCTGAGTATACTGAAGAAAACCTGTTCGATAGAAGTCATTTGTTTACATTTGTCAAATAAAAAGACTAGAGCCACCAGCGATGATATTAGTAGGTTATCGTGGGATGATGTGTGGCACTATTGATTCTATAAAATGCCACATAAACCCAGAAACGGAGCAACAACAACCCCAATATATTTTTATTAGGACCTACCGTCTTTGAGTCCAAAGTGAGAAAGGTAATCAATATTTTACCATTTCTCAGATTCCACCCTTCAGTGTAGCATATAAAATCAGAATGATCCAATACAATATTAAAGCTCTAAAGAAGCGGTTTGGTAGATTAAATTGACGAAACCGCTGGGAGGTTCACCACTGATGAGCCAAGCCCTCCGGATATATTTTCATCGCAGTTAGGACAGTAGAAGTTTGATTTATTTGTGAAAAGAAACATTCGCGTCTTTATGTCTTCATTCGTTATATATAGATGGCGTGTTATTTCTGCATGACATTGACTGCATGTCATTTAGTTATAATAGCTCTTTTTTAATTGATATTTTCAACTTTTATACCGAACAGTAAAACTTGTAATCCAATTAACAAAATATCTCATTAGTCAATGAATCGGAGAAAGGCTTTTAAATCTTTGAATTTTTACGTTGATAGGAATAGGAGGATAGCAATTTTAGTCGTTCCTCTGAAGTCAGATCGATGAAGAACACTACCTATCATCCTAACACCCAGAGACAATACTATCGAAATGAGACGTTTTGCTTCTAACAACGAGGCTCTTTGTTAGAACTGACAATTCATCTAGGCCATGGGTCGGCAAACTGCGGCTCGCGTGCCACATGCGGCTCTTTAAATGTGAAGCTGCGGCTCCTTATATAGTTCCATACGCTAATTTTATTTATGCGAGTACTAATTATTGTTGGAAAGAAAAAACATTGTGTGGCTCTTTAAAAACCTGGATATTTGGTAAATTGTAATCTTTGACTATTCCTACTCAAAATATTGCTGACCCCTGATCTAGGAGAATGTGAACTCTTATTTTGAACCACGGGCTCTTTAAAAAATGATAAACACAACTCATAAAAAATATGTATTTGTTTATACGGGATTTTATATAGGATATAAATTAAGCGTGTGAGCCTTTTTACTAGAATTTGAAATAACGTTTCACACAATATAAAATATCAATATAATATATTTTAAGTAATCATTCTAAACATAAAATTATTGAACAGAATATGAGAGAAAAAGAGATTGAGATTTGTCTCATTAATGGTGAATGATCAGTGGTTTCGTCAATTTAATCAAACAGACCGTTGAAAATAGTAGCATTTATTCTGCTTTTATGATATTTCCATTTGTGAAGATTCATTCTCAGTGATAATATTCATGACACTTTGAAACTATGTTTGATTACATCAGAAAACCATATAAACAGAATGGGAGTAAGTAAATAGTTGAAACGCCATAGTAGACTGAATGATCAAAAAACACCAATGAGCTACAGTACCATTTCTAAGATTCTACCTATCAGTGTAGCATATATAATCAGAATCTTCCAATACAGTATTAGAGCTCTAAAAAGCGGTCTGGTAGTTTAAATTGAGGAAACCGATGGGAGGGTTCACCACTGATGAGCCTAGCTCTCCTATATTATTTTATGGCAGTAAGAACAGTAGCAATTTAATTTAGGCGTAAAAAACTTTAGTGCTTAAATGCTTGATTTTATTAGTTATAAGCTTATTCATGTACTTTGACTAGAAGTACATGTTGAGGGTTCAGGCAAGAATCCTCACGCGCCGAGCGGCGCCGAGGTGACGGCGGGAACCGGCCGAAACTGGATCTCGCCAGTTTGTTTTGGTGTCGGCTGGAGGGAGGACTAACTCCGCGTCTAGCTGTGTGTGGTATTCTCTTTATGTTCCGGCACTGGTTATAAATAAAACCGGTACCAAGGGAGCTCCGACGACTCAGAGTGGATTATTGACAAAACAACGGGCACAACACAACATGGTGGCAGCGCCGGGATCGTGAAGAGCCCAAGTAAGTGCCTTTTTAATTAATTCCACTCCTGTGCAATCAAATCTGACATGGAATCAAATTCCTTTCTTCCGCCTCCTAACTTCAGTTTCGACGCCAAGGAATGGCCAAGCGGGAAACAGCGATTTTCTCGATACAGACTTCTCTCCAACTTGAACGCCAAGGAACAAGAATATCAGATCACAGCATTGATATATCTTATGGGGGAGAGGGCTGAGGAAATCCACACTGCGTTCAATCTCTCAGCAGATGACGCAAAGAACCTCGACAAAGTCATTGAAGCGTTCGACAACCACTTTATTGGCAAACGCAACGTGCTGTATGAGCGGGCTTTGTTCGGATTAAGGAGTCAACGACCGGAAGAAACCATCGAGGAATTCGTAACAGTTTTGCACAGAATATCTGAGCACTGCGAATACGCTAATCTGCGCGAGGAGCTTATTCGTGATCGTATAGTGCTTAGAGTAAAAGATAGGAAGTTGTCGGAGAAACTGATGCTAACGAAAACCTGACCTTGGCCAAAGCAGTCGAGATCGCCCGTCAG